AAACCTGGTGGTGTAGTTGTTTCAAATGCAAAGCAATGCCAACAGATGAGGAAAGTGTTTGCTGCTCAGACTGGGAATTGGCGATGCCTGCACTTGAGAATCTGGACATCAGTACTGACGAGACTGCTGCTCTTCAGAGACCGTGTATGACTGATCACCCTGAGCGCGCACACGTGAGCGCGAAGCACAGAGAAGCAGTCAGAGCTACAGGCTACAGTGAGGCTAAAAACAGAGTTCATATGACGTTTTGCGTTTTTTTTTAATGTCGCAGCTGCAGCACACTTGGATCACTACAGATGAGCATGTTGGAGATATTTTGTGGATTCAATTTTGTGTTCTTGGACATTAGTCTGGGGCGCCGTCTGCCATTAGGTGTGCTAGCCGCTCCCCCTGCCGATCTCCGCAAGGGATGTGAGGACTCTAAAACTTCACCAGGGCCTCCGTCGGCATATGGGTGAGTAGATAATGGCTGAATTTTCATTTTTGGGTGCACTATCCCTTTAAGATAACTCCTTCAAGTTTGGCACAAATGTCTACTTGGACTCAAAGATGAACTGATTAGATTTTGGTGCTCAGAGGTCATTGTCATCGTGACCTCATGTCTGTCCACCCCATTCTTGTGAACGTGATATCTCAATCAATCAATCAATCAATTTTATTTATAAAGTCCAATATCACAAATCACAGTTTGCCTCACAGGGTTTTACAGCATATGACATCCCTCTGTCCTTAGGACCCTCAGGAATGCCCTGAGGAAATTTCTTCAAATTTGGCACAAATGTCCACCTTTGTTGGTCAAAGTCTGGTCGTCTTCAAAAATTGGTTCTTCAGAAACAGACGGTTGTAGGTGGAACGTCAGCATTTCAAAAAGAACTCTTTTGGAGCCCTTATTTCTGACAGTGTACATCTACTGTGTATGCAAATGAAAATATAGCCATAGAAAGACAAAAATCTATCTCGCTCTTTTCTTTTTGCTGTGATTCTCTTTTTTCACTCTCTCTACTTTCTCTCTCTCTTTGTTAAGCTCCAAAACATGCATCCATGCTCCCTCCCACACACACTTACACACACATTCAAATCAGTGCACTTTTGGGGTGATTGGGATCGGTTGCGGTGTGGATCCAGCAAAGTGAGATAGAATTTAAATTGGATGTTAAATAAGCATTACTCCGCTTGATTGTCTGGCCAGCCTGGGAAAGTGGGCAAGCAGTGAGGCAGAGTGCGCTCCTCTCTCTCAGGGAGATATGTGAAATTGGGGTGAGATTGAATTAAAGCGTGAACAATTAGTGATGTGCTGCTGGTGTCGCTTACCTTGAATCATTTCATCCACGTTATGAGAGGCCGTTTTAGCCATAAATCATACTTTTCGTGCGCATACTGTCATAACCTCACATTATACCCTCTATAGTATGCATGAGAGAAAGAATGATAAGAGTGAATTATGGTGTGTTTGAGTGAGACTGAAAATATAAAGTGTTGAAGAGATGGTTTACGTGAGAGAGAACAGAAGTGTGTGAATTATAATGTATGTGACACAGAATGAGTGGACTGACGGTTTACTGTAAAGTATGTGAAAGAGTATACTTGTGTGTGTGTGAGGGTATGATTACATGAGAACGGCTGGTTTTCTGTGAGAAGGAACAACATAGTATCTGAGAGAAAGTATACCTGAAAAGGCAATTTGACTGAAAGGGAAGGCTTGAAATCAAAGTCTGAATCTGCTCAGTGGCACTGCTGATAATTCACTGAAAGGGTAAATGGAGGAGCATTTAATTCAAGATAGTGTGTTTGAGGACAAATTAAAATCCTTAGGTTTTGGTAGAATGATGGGAGGATCACAAATGCTATCACAAGTACTGTCTTTCTTGTGTACTATTCTTCTGTTACTCTGTGAATGTAGCGGTGCATGTAGGAGACTATATAGATGAGTGTAAGAGAGTATTATCAGGCTACAGTAGTGCGTATGAGACCTCTCTAACAGCTGACCTGCATCTCTACGTGGTGTTTTAAGTCCATCATGTTCCTCCGCTCAGTGTGCAGCAGATGACCTGCCTTGACCATCTTTGTTTGAAATGGAAGTTTTGCTATGATTACCTCTTGTTTCTTTCATTTTTGTAGAAGACCGTTCTTTTGCTCTCTGATCTTTTGTTATTTTTCTTTCTGTCCATCTCTTTCACACACTGCTGCTTACATTGCAGTAAAAGGGTAAATTAAGCTGAGAAATACTGAAATGACAGTACGGAAGCCCTGGCTGCTAAAAAGCATCCATGTTTTCTTCCAGATGTAAAACATGACTGTAATGTTACATGACTTTCTTATACACAATATTTACCTTGTTGGGGTGGGTATGTCAAGGCACCTCATAAGTCAGTTTGATTATGATTCAGAGATTCATCATTTGATTATGAAATGATTATTGATATATCATGATGCATCCCTTTGCATCAAAAGTTTTGATTTCTACATCTGATTTATTCTCCTCACTGTATGACTACTTCCAAAATGCTTCCATACCATAGCTTTTAAACCAGGTGGTGCCAGTCGGATTGTACCCATCTGTGGTTAAACACACTAATCCATTGTGGGATATTTATGCTGGCGTAGTGACCAGTGTTTGCACAGTGTAATATTTCACTACAAATAGTGTGCTGTTCATATACTGTTGAATAATAAATGGTCTGCAGCCTTTTTATTTTAAAAAGTTGACTGAATTTGAAAGCACCTTACAGTCTCCTGCCTGTATGGGGATAGCAAACGGAGGGAGCAGCCTCTCTGCTGCACATTAGCTCTGGGAAAAGATGCTGAGTGGGCTAGCCGTAGGGTTTTGAGGTGAAGTGAGGTGAGTTATTTTCTTCACCATGTAGTTGTTTTAAGTTGTTTAATGCTGCACTGTGTGGTCATCTGGTCTCGTTTGTTCACATGCTGATCGCTGCTTCAAGCAGTAAACATTAGTCTCTGGGAGATGGTGTAGAAAGCATTCACAATATACTTAACGTTCGCCTCGCAAATGTAATTTTAGACATTAAAGCATGCTTGCAACCACTGCCTTTTGTGAAGATGAATTACAAGGTAACTACTGTTCTGCCTCTTTAGTTCCGTCAACATGACGTAATTAATAAACATTTAGATAACTGATTATTGGCATTTGTGAATCAATGCCAAATCGTTCACGTCCGTATTGCATCTAGGAATTGATATTTTCCTCATTCCCAGTATCTTGCATTTAGAGAATGTAGAGAAATGAAAACTCACCTTGAAGAAAACATGAATGCTTTTAGTCCTGTATAAAAGATGGGGTCTTGGTGCACCTCAGCCTCTTGTGGCCTAAATGAGTAATAGAACCACAAAACTTGATCATGACATAAAATCACCTGTTCACCCCTTTTATTCACCTATTTTTTTAAATGAAAAGAAGTTACTTAGAAAAATGATTCTCACAAAAGATTTTTTTTTCACCTGGCAAAACTTTTTTCCCACCTGTTTCACAGAACAAAAAAGGAATTTAGAAAGATCGTCCTGGACAAACCTTTCTTCACCTGTTCTTCAGTCATAAACACTAGAGAACAAAAACAATTCAGATCAGACCTAGAAAATTCATCATGAGAATTTCTTTTCTCACTTGCCTCTCAGGGCTTTCAGAGAACAGACAATGTTTTCTTTGTGTATTTTTTAGCAAACCTCACAGAGAAAAAGTGAGAGTTTTAGACAAAACAAAATGGCACTGTCATTCACTGATGCTGTAGAGTTGTGTACTGTACAAATACCTATCCCCAAACATACATTCAGAATATCTTTGAAAAGCCAGCTTGAGAGATATATGGGGTCCATTTACGTACACAACTGGCTCATATCTGTATAATATTTCCAGATTAAATTGGAAATGAAGTTACATGAGGTGTACAGCATTTGAATGAATATCTAATTTTCCTCATCCTCTACGTTGATGTCCCCCAAGTTTGCATTTCCTTGCTGCGAGGGACCCGTTGTGGGATCAGCTCAGCTCAATAGAGCACAACACAACACAGCTTAGTCTGATACTCCAGAACAAATGGTATCCAAACAGTCCAGCTGGATGGGGCCCACCTGGATCAGGCCTTACCCTCAGCACCTCCATCCAGCACCTCATTGTTGGGTTTTATCCCCATGGAAACCTTCCTGCAGCCATGGCTGGTGTTTGTGAGGAAGTTAGGTGCCTGGAGGCTTGATTTCTGTTGTTGTTTTCTCAAGTCTGCTGGCCTCTGTAAAGGTTTGTTTGTGGCTGATTTACATGTCAAGGCCCCTCTCAGACCTGTGTTCCCCACCACCCGGTGGAACAAGCCTCTTAGACAGCTCAATCTAGAGAAGCTCCCCTCTGCCAGGCCTCATATTTTAGGGAGCATTACTGTTGGCCTGTCAGTCAGCTCTTATCGACACAGTGCATAGCCCTCTATATAGCACGCCTGTGCATTTCTGTGAACTTTACTTACAAAGTGCTGTAAGGACTTTCCTTATCGCAAAAATACTCTTTTAGCTGCTGTCTTTCTCTCTTTTTCAGTTTTTTCTTCAGCATTTCAGCCTCTCATTTATTGTGTACGGGTATATCTTAATGCTGATGCATGCTTTTTGTGGTCTTTGTATGAGACACTGAATGCCTCCTTCTGAAACACAGCCTGATTTTGCAATTTCCCTGTGGGCTTTGATACCTGCTTTTAGAAGTCCTCTGAAAAAAGAAAGAAAAACATGAAGATGATTATGAATAACTCTGCACCTGTTCCATCTGCCACAATCAGCTGTTCAGAATCTATCACATCTTAAAAGCCAAGATTCTGCACATTTCCTGCTGGCTGTTGTCTTCTCTGTATTTTTAAAACCTCACAGCTCCTCCAAAGTGTTTCTTGTTTTTTTCCTGCTGTGACATTGACTCATACTTTTGCCCCTCAAGCTATACGTTTGCACTTAGTGCTGCCCCCAACAAACTTCACTCCTCACTGCCTCCATATCTTCTTGTTATCTATGTGCAGGGCAAGCATTGTGCAGAAGAGGATAATCGATTTCCAGGATGAAGGCTCACTCACCAAGCGCATGTGTGAGAAAGGTAGGCTTCTTTTATTTACATGGAATACAATAATGTACTCTGAATTTCTTATTCTTTCAACCCCCTGATGGTACTCTATAACCTTTCCCTCCTATAGTCTCTTTGTTTTTATTGTCTTCTTTGACTCTTGTTTTGATTCAGGGGCATTCCTCTCTGCTGTTATGCTCTGGCATGTGAATAATTGTAAATGAGTGTGACCCCCCGACTGTGCATGACATTGGATGTCACACTGTGCAACAGATCAGAAGAACTATGCTACACATCCTCCCATTTTGTAATGCCCTCCCTTTCATCCTCCTGTCAGCTCCCACTCTCTTAAACAACCCATCTCCTGTATGATGGGCCACTCTCATCTGCTTCTTATACTAATGAGCAATCTCTCTACGTCTTTCTCATGGTCTTCTGTATTTCTCTGTCTGGATCTTACTTTTCCCCTCATTTCTGTACAGAATCCCTGTATGGAGACACTACAGAGAAACCTCTTCTCGACTGTTGTGCCTGTGGAACAGCAAAGTACAGAGTCACCTTCTATGGGAACTGGTCAGAAAAGATGCATCCCAAAGACTATCCACGTAAGCAAAACTCCGAGCCATTATTTGTCCTGTGACCTCAGCTACTTCACACATTAAAAGGCATATTTTATATATTTATCTGGTGCTTTTTTTTTTTTTTTTAACTGTCAAAAAAATCCTATGAAAAGACCTTAACCAGCAGTGAATAGATCATGCCAATAGGTATTGCCAGTGTTGCCCAACCTGTTGCAAGGTGCACATACTTTCTTTTTACTTTCAGTAGGTACTGCAGCTGCCCTTAAAAAGCATGTACTGTTGCATGCAGTATGAACACAGTCGGGACAAACTACTTCCTCATAAAATTCCGCCCTGAACCCTCATGCTTATATATCTGTTACCTTGGAGATAAAACAAAATGCCATTCGCTGAGTCCGCTAGAGACCGAGGTCAACCCGGAGAGCTCTGCTGTTGTTACTTTGCAATGTTCATTCATTCATTTTCCATAACCGCGTGTCCTGTTAGGGGTCGCAGGGGTGCTGGAGCCTATCCCAGCTGACTTTGAGTGAGAGGTGGGGTTCACCCTGGACAGGTGGCCAGACTATCACAGGGCTGACACATAGAGACAGACAACCATTCACACTCACAGTCACGCTTATGGGCAATTTAGAGTCACTAATTAACCTGCATGTCTTTGAACATGGGGGGGGGCTCCCCCACCCTGGGTTCGAACTAGGAACCCTCTTGCTGTGATAGTGCTAACCATCCCACAGTGCCGCCACTTTGCAGTATATGTATACCTATACATATATTTATACATATATGTATATGTACACTGCCTGGCCAAAAAAAAAGTCGCCACCTGGATTTAACTAAGCAAATAGGTACGAGCCTCCTATTGGATAATTACTGCATGGGCGATTATCTTTCAGCTGGTAACAAGTTATTTAACCCCAACTGGTGCAATGAGTTGCTTCTCATTTCCTAAACAACCATGTCGAAAGACACATCCCGTGGTCGTGGAAAAGATGTTAGTCTGTTTGAGAAGGGTCAAATCATTGGCATGCATCAAGCAGAGAAAACATCTAAGGAGATTGCAGAAACTACTAAAATTGGGTTAAGAACTGTCCAACGCATTATTAAAAACTGGAAGGATAGTGGGGACCCATCGTCTTCGAGGAAGAAATGTGGCCGGAAAAAAATCCTCAATGATCGTGATCGGCGATCACTTAAACGTTTGGTGAGATCAAATCGAAGAAAAACAACAGTAGAACTCAGGGCTATGTTTAATAGTGAAAGTAAGAGCATTTCCACACGCACAATGCGAAGGGAACTCAAGGGATTGGGACTGAACAGCTGTGTAGCCTTAAGAAAACCACTAATCAGTGAGGCTAACCGGAAAAAAAGGCTTCAATTTGCTAGGGAGCATAAAGATTGGACTCTGGAGCAATGGAAGAAGGTCATGTGGTCTGATGAGTCCAGATTTACCCTGTTCCAGAGTGATGGGCGCATCAGGGTAAGAAGAGAGGCAGATGAAGTGATGCACCCATCATGCCTAGTGCCTACTGTACAAGCCTGTGGGGGCAGTGTTATGATCTGGGGTTGCTGCAGTTGGTCAGGTCTAGGTTCAGCAACAGTATGTGCTCAAAGAATGAGGTCAGCTGACTACCTGAATATACTGAATGACCAGGTTATTCCATCAATGGATTTTTTCTTCCCTGATGGCACGGGCATATTCCAAGATGACAATGCCAGGATTCATCGGGCTCAAATTGTGAAAGACTGGTTCAGGGAGCATGAGACATCATTTTCACACATGGATTGGCCACCACAGAGTCCAGACCTTAACCCCATTGAGAATCTTTGGGATGTGCTGGAGAAGGCTTTGCGCAGCGGTCAGACTCTACCATCATCAATGCAAGATCTTGGTGAAAAATTAATGCAACACTGGATGGAAATAAATCTTGTGACATTGCAGAAGCTTATCGAAACAATGCCACAGTGAATGCGTGCCGTAATCAAAGCTAAAGACGGCGGTCCAACGAAATATTAGAGTGTATGACCTTTTTTTTGGTGGTGACTTTTTTTTTGGCCAGGCAGTGTATGTTTGCAACATACGTAGTTTAAACTTTTAAGTAATAAATGGACCTGCACTTTTATAGCGCCTTTCTAGTCATCCGACCACTCAAAGCGCTTTTCCACTACGAGTCACATTCACCCATTTACAGACATATTCATACACTGGTGGCTGAGGCTACAAGGTACAATGTGCCACCTGCTACTCAGTTTTTAACACACTCACACACCGATGGAAGCATCATCAGGAGCAATTTGGGGTTCAGTACCTTACTCAAGGATACTTCGACATGCAGACTGGAGGAGCTGGGGATCGATCCGCTGATCTTCCGATTGGTGGACTATCTGCTCTACCTCTGAGCCACAGCTGCATACATAGGCTATGCATTTCTCTGTTGTTGTTATTTGATATATGTCCTTTTTATGATTCATTTGTTCACTTAATCAATTAATATTCCTATTATTACTATTCGACTGGTCACCAGTCATTTTAATGTTATTTTAATGTCATCCGCCATTTTGACTTCTGTCAAGCTGTCATCTGTTTGCTGCTCAGTTAATGTGATGTATTTCCCGCTGTGCAGAGGATTGTGGGTCAGAATAGCCAGGAGAGCATGCTGGCTTGCACACTGCAAAATCCGAGCGGATGCAGTAGGATAATCTGTTTTTTTGCCAAAATGCATTTGACCTTCTATGTTGTAGGCTACCATGTATCAGGACGTACTAAATCTTTTTCTGCCATACCAAATAGTATGGCAGTATGGGTATTGGAAGGCACTTAGCCCTTGGTTGTTTTCCAGTGAGCATCACCATTTGACTGGTTGACATGTCTCGTCATCACGATGGTCTTGGGTTTTGTAGTTTATTTTTAGCAGATTCTACACACCATCCTGCTGCTCACCACATCTGCAACTAAAATGTGTCCCCAGCAAATGCACCATTACTTCTGTTTGAGTAACTTCTGCTAAAAGCTATTATTCCCAACTGCTTTAGCAAATTATTTAGACTTGTTTAAGTGAAAGTACACTCATGATCCTTTTTTTTGTAACAGATTTAAGTCAAATGAATGTCTGGGCTTTGTGTGAGTGCCACAGACTTCGGGGGGGAGTCAGAATGTATTGAGAAACAGACTAATACATTGTTGATATTGGTCTTTGAATAGGATTTGTTGACAATGACAAAAATTGGCAGCCGTATCCTTTAATCTTGATTGTAGTACCGTAGTCCCAAAAACTCCAGGATATGTTCCAAACATGTGGGTGGTTTAGCCTCCATGCATGGCTCTCAATAGTGATGTGTGTGGTTTGCTACAGCATCACACTATGGTTGAATGCGATGTGTGTATAACCTTGAGCCACACTATCAGGATGTGAATGGACTTAAGGATTACACCGGCTCTCTTGTCTAAGTCAGGCTCTCGCTGGTCAGATCAATATACTGATTAGAGTGGAATAAGATAAACCCTGAGATCGAAAAGGAGCCCTAATTTACTGTCTTATGGAGGGAGTAGCTGGTGTGTGACTCACTCTCACACACAGATACGCAAACACACACCTCGCAGATAGATCAACTTAAAAGAGGATAGGGCACGCTGCGTGGTGACTGTTTCATCCTGACTCTTAGGATGCTACAGTTGGACTTCTCCTTGCACAAAGTCATTTCCTAGGTAACCAGTTATTATAACACACTGCACATTTTGTACTGGACAATATTATTCACTGAATACAGTCCAGTTAGCACACGATAATCTGTCATCATTTGAATTTTGGTGACACTTTCCATTAAAAAACTAAAAAAAAAATAGCTAGAAGTAAACTTGGTCTGACTTTTCCTTTCTGATGTAAGTAGTGGTTCAGTGGTTGATGTTTTTGCTATCTGAGATAAGCCACTATGTCACATATCATCCCTCTATTTTTAACATGTGTCCTTCAAGTGCAGGAGCCTGAGACCACTGTGGTGACACACATTCCAGACCAAAAATTCACTGTAAAACAGGCCAACAGGACTGTCTTTTTTTATTTTTTTTCTGCAGACATGATAACCTTGACAGTTCTATTTTCTTTCTCCCCTTTTCTGCCCATTGTAAGTCATGCAGCAATGCATGGCTATTCAACCCAAGCACCAGCAGCTCGCTCGGACACAGAGAGTATGTCGAGATGGAGAATGGCCTGGTTGTCAGTAAATATTTTTTTACGGGATTAGCAGGAGATAGAGAGAGAGGAAGCAAAAGAGGGAGAGTGAGTTTAATATTTATTTATTAACCAAAGAAAGAGGGACCGCATCAAAGTCAATTTCCTATTATACAAGGGAAGCAATATGTTGAAGTCCAGACTTGACATGTACCGTAGACCCAAAAACAGCTGCCTTCCATCTTCTCTATATTTAGCCCATCACCTTCCTTCCCTGGACAGAATATAAAGTCGTTTCATATGATTTTTTCATGTGGTATTTATTTCCCAAACACAAGGACATTTCTCATTGCTTTGCAGTGGACGAAATTCACTTTCAGCCGAGCCCCATCAAAGCTCTTGAACACCACAGCTACATTTTGGTTGGTCTCCTTTAAAACAGCATTGTTATTTAAATGTCCAATCAATCAGTTTTATTTGCACCGGCCCCCATAAATAAACGCTGGTTGTGTTTTTCTAACACTACCACACTACAACTGTGAATCATCTGTGTAGGACATGATGTCCAAAGATTCTCTGTTTATTCACAGACAGCTGGCAGTACACAGAACAACACTGGTTGAGTGGGAACAGGGATTTCCAATGTAATCCTTAATTTGATTTAAATGCCTTAATTTACATGATGGCTTCTCATTCAGAATGAAATAAATCTGAATGAAATCATTCGGAAATAAAGTGTTTCCAGGTAGTTTACATGGGAAATATTCATTCCGAATGAGGGTTTACATGGGAGATCAGTTCAATCGCCTTTATTCGGGTGCGCGCAAGGTTTGCGGCAGGGAAGGTTTCTGATTGGAT